CTCCCGTGCGTTAGGGAGCTACGCGCGCTTGAAGTTGCGCCTCGGTCAAGCATCCTTTGAAACATCGCGATGAATTATTTTGTTTGATCGATACACCGATCAACGCTGAAAGCAAAAAAGTTCAAATGGTACCCCGCGATTTTCTGACTATTTCTGACAATTTGCTCATACAAAAACGAGCACGCCGTTATTGACACCCTACACCCGCCTACAGTACCCGCGGACTGCGTAGCCTGTGTACGTGCTGACTTGGCGTCGACGGCTCCGCGCGCGGGTTCACACGCGATGGCGCCGGCGCTCTCGACGATCGTCCGCGTCTCCGCCGTCTCCGGGATCACCGCCGCCGCCGCCGCGTCGCCATCGCCGGCGGCGCCGTTCCCGTCTCGCGCGCGACTCGCGAGACGCGCGCCGGCGAGCGGCCCGGCCGCGTCGTCGTCGATCCCGTCGGTCTCGCCGCCGCGCGTCTCGCGCGGCGCGCGCGTCGCGTCGCGCGCGTCCGGCGGCGGGACCGGGATCCCCCCCGACGGCGTCCGCGGGATGCTCGCGCGCCTTCGCGGCGGCGGCGGCGGCGCGTCGTCGTCGTCGTCGCCCGCGGCCGCCGCCGCGCAGGCGCTCGACGGCACCCGATTCGACGACACGGCGCCGAGTTGGGAAACGCTGGGACGACGGCTCGAAACGCTGCAGCGGTCGCGCGGGACCGCGACCGCGGCCGAGAGGGATCTCGAACGCGACCCCGCGGCGTCGCCGCACGCGCTCGCGCGGCGATTCGGATCTGACGATGACGCGCCGGTTCGCGTCATGTTCTACCGCGACCACGCGGGGTGGTGTCCGTACTGCGAGAAGATCTGGCTTCAGCTCGAAGAGAAGAAGATTCCGTACAGAGTTGAGAAGATCAACATGCGGTGCTACGGCGATAAGCCCGCGTCGTTCACGTCGAAAGTTCCGAGCGGGATGCTCCCGGTGGTTGAGATCGACGGCGAGCTCATGACGGAGAGCGCCGCGATCGCGGCCGCGCTCGAGGAGCGATTCCCCGAGCGCACGCCGCTTCTCCCCGCACGCGGGACCGCGGCGTTCGCGCGCATCGAGGAACTGAACCGTCTCGAGCGCGCGTTATTCTCGCGCTGGATGCGATGGCTGACGTCGTCGTGGGCGGACGGCGGGAACCGAAGCCAGTTCGAGGAAGCTATGGACGTTGTCGACGCGGAGCTTCGGAAGACGCCCGGCGCGTATTTTCTCGGCGAGGAGCTGTCGCTCGTGGACATCACGTTCACGCCGTTTCTCGAGCGCATGGCCGCGTCGCTGGCATACTACAAGGGCTTCAAGATCGAACAGTCCGGGGGACGGTGGCCCGGGCTCGACGCGTGGTACCGCGCGATGGCGCTCCGCTCGGACACTTACGCGTGGATAAAGAGCGACTACTACACGCACGCGCACGACCTCCCGCCGCAGCTCGGCGGGTGTGAGTTCAACGGTGACGACGAGCAGGCGCGTCCTCTGACCAATCGCATCGCGCCGCGTCATGTAACATTCGACCATGTCATCTCGTCTGACCAATAACGTCCCCTCTCCGTCCGTCGCGTCGCAGGTCGCGTTCAAGCGCGGGATCGACGGCGCCGCGGAGAGCTGGCGACTGCCGCTGCCGCCGCTGAACGAAAATTCCCCCGAGCCGTCCTATCTCGAGGAGTCCGCCGTCGACGATCGCGTCGAGGCCGCGGCGAAGGTGATTGGGAATGCGAAAAACGTCGTCGCATTCGCTGCGCGAGGAAGCGGCCGACCCGGGAACAGGCCGGTCGCCGCGCGTCTCAGCGATCCGACGGCGACGCCGGACAAAGAAGCGATCGCGGGCGTCGACGCGGCGTTGCGCAGGGTGTGCCACGAGCTCCTGGAAGGAACCGCTGCCGAGGCTGCGGCTGCGGCTGCGAAAGGCGTCGGCGTCGGCGTCGACGTTGGCGTCGGCATGAGCGAGCGCGGCGCGCACGACGCGAACCGGGCCGCGGTGTCGCTGGCGTATCTGCGCGACCGCGTCGGTGTCCCGAGGGATCTGCGGTATCCCGCGGCGAGGCAACTGCGCGCGCACTTGAATTGGTTCATTGACGCATTATACGTGGACAGTGAGAATTTACAGTGAGAATGATCGTTACAACTTTGCTTACTACAGTACGTGTAGCCCCACTGTAAACCCCTTTCCACTCCACGCACACTCCCTCAATAGCGCGGCCCACTCCGGTACTTCATGCGTTGCCAAATCCACATGTCATACATGGGACACATGCATACACACGCGCGCACACAGGCGCGCGCACTTGAATTGGTTCATCGATGAGCTCGAGGTGCGGTAGTCTCACCACCAGGGATCACCGCCGCCTCTTCGTTCACCTTCTTTGATTGTTTAACTTTAATACACGTTAGCATTGGACGATACCGCCCTACACCGCCCTCCTTCGCTCACTTCTTCTTCTCCCCGCCGACGCCCGCGCCTTGGACGACGCCCAGCTTCCGCCTCGGCCGATTCTCGTCCGTGAAGATGACACCGGCGTCTTTTAAAACGTCCCCAACCCCCCGCAGGAGGATCATGTCCTCGTCCGGGTAGTACCCGTCGCCGAATCCGCGAACGCCGCCACCTGCGAAAGGTGAAGAAAAAATCATTCATCGGTCATCCCTACAGTGAAAGTAGTTGAGAAGGGCCGCGATCTATGTTGAAATCGGGCGTGCTGGGGTGTAAAGAAAGACGGAGAAAGTCGTTAAGAAACGACGTTCAACGCGCGAGGGAGGATGTGTGGAAAGCAGTCTCACCGACGCCTCCCGTGATCTCCGGCTCGTCCGCCGGCCGTGACGTCGGGAGAAACCCGAACGCGGCGTTCCACTCCTTGGGCCCGGCTTTGATCGGCGCGTCGAAGTGCGCGGGGACGATCGTGTCGAACTTCCACCTCCCGATGCGTCTCGCCCAGTCCGCGACGTCGTCTGGAACGTTCTCATACACGAGCGTGGACACCACCGGCGCGACGATGAGACGATTTACGATCCCCACCCACGACATCTCCGGGTCTAACAAGTTCGAAGGCCCGAAATACAACGCCTGGAGCGCGTTACGCTGCCACCCGAGGCGCTTCCGCTCGTTCTCGGTCATGTCCTTCGACGACGTCGTTCGCGTCTTCGCCTTGGTCTTGATGTCGAAGAGGTTTAGAAATTTCAGCGCCGCGATGGTGAAATTGTCGTCGTCCCCTGACTCGAGCAAGTCGCGATCTGGGATCGCGTCAGGGACGTTTTCGGACACGTACACGACCGCGTCGGTCACGAGCAAAGTTCTCGTGGCTTTATGCAGAAACGCGCACTCGGTGAATGCGACGTACGACGCGACCCCGAGCGCGGGCGGCGTCAGGAGCTCGCACTCAAACTCGTCCGCCCACGACGGCGCATCCCCGTTCGCGTCGACGCCGCCGCCGAACCCGAGCGTGCCTGTAAAGAAACGATGGAGAAGACACTCCTTAAGAAACGGCGTTGTACGCGCAAACGGGGTCGTACGGGAAGCAGTCTCACCGGTTTTGAATATGCCGAAAAACGTCGGCGGCAGGTTCACCGGCCACGACCACTGATCCGGCGCGATCCAAACTTCCGCGTCCGGGTACTTCCGCTGGAATGGCCCGACGAAAATCTTTCGGGGGAAGGGGTACGAAACGGTCAGTCGATCGGCTTCGCGGTCAAATATTGAAACCGACCGAGCAGCGTGGAGTGAAAAGAAACCTTCCTTTCGGGAGAAATACCTTCTTCTTAAGAAACGACGTTCAACGCGCGAGGGAGGACGCATCGAAAGGAGTCTGACAACGCACCTTGTGCTCGAACAACGTCGTCGGGAGGACGATGTGCTCCACCGGCGCGTCCAGCTCGTTTAGGAGCGCGACGCACTCCTTCGTCGGCGCCACGGGCGCGTGCACCCACAAACCGCCGCTCTCGAGTTTGATCACCGTCATCCGCACGTTCACGCTGACGTTTAAACCGAGGCCGATGCCTTGCTTCTGTTCGAAGAACCACATCGAGTTTGGGATGATTTCGAGCGAAAAGTCTCGC